CAGGAGCCAAAATGTTTTATTTTTCTTTCCTATACACATACATCAGTACACACACATAAACATTGATGGTCAGTGGCAGTGTTAATCCCTCCCCCCTGCATTGGTGGCCAATGGCAATACTGTTAACCACCTTCACTGTTTCCTTATCTGCTCCCTCCCCATTCCGTCTCCTTATGACGTTGTAACAGGACTGCCAGGTGGAGATCACTCTGCCTGACAGTGATTTATATCAGTGCTAGGGGCAGGAACGCAGATCGCGTCCCAGCACCCTGCTGCCACTCTGCATAGTGCCCAACAGGTGGAGGACACAGTGGGCCACATGAAGGGAGTTGGCTGTACAGATGATCACCAATGCCGAGCACTGATCTGTATATGCAGGTCACACAGATTTCTAACAGAATATTTATTATTTAGGTGCATTACCATATTTTCCATCTCACAGTGGTTTGTACAGAAATTAATATCAGTATTTTTAGTGGTTTACTCTTCTTTTTTCCACTGTATTTAGCTGCGGGAGCTGGAGGACAAGTATGCAGAGTGCATGGAAATGCTTCACGAGGCACAGGAGGAGCTGAAGAACCTTAGAAATAAAACCATGCCAAATGTAATTTCCCGGCGTTATCACAACCTGGGTGCATTTCCTATGGTAAAAATATTTTTCTTTTTTTTGTGCCCACTATAAATAATATGCCTGTACCAAATGGATTACTCAGTTTTGGATGGAGTTTTGTCTCAAATGCCTTGTTAAATGCCTGGTGACCACAGTTGTTTTTTGTTTTTTTTTTATAATCCATCTCGTATATGAAATGACCGATTCTTCCTACTTGGCATTTAAGGACAATGTGTTGATGCTGTTGCAGGGAATTTAATCTGGCTTAAAAATGTCTAAGGTAGCAACAGTATTGAAGTGCATGCAACATGTGCTGCCTGCAAGTGTATATGTTAGATTTCAGATCAAACCCTATATCCCCTTGGAGATTCTTACATTCTAAGGCCAGACTGTACATAGGGTATTGACTTCTGCAAATTGACAAAAGGCTCCCCAGTCCTCCTAGTGCTAAGCTTCTATATGACAGCTAAATGACAGGACCTGGTGTATTCTTAAAGGAGAACTATGGGGTTAAGGCTTTTCCCCATAGCTCTCCTTAGGGTAACGGGAGGACACAAACTAGCGTCCTCCCGTCGCCCTAAGCTCAGTATACCGCGAGCAAATGTATTCACTCAAATACACTATAGTTTGCTTTTTAAGAATGCATATTGTACTTGTCAGACTGATTCATTTGGTATTGTGTGATTTCATACCCATAGTACTACCGTCTTTCCTCTTTGTGATATTATTGCTAAAGGGAGCAATAGTTCATATCAGAACATTGAAAGGCTTTTGAGTGTAGCCTGCAATAGATGTAACTTGAGATACTTAATTCCTGGATCATTAAATAAAAAAATATTGCGGCCAGTGTTTGCTCTTTAAATGTCATAGTTGTCACCCTAAAGCCAGGAACAGTTTTTTTGCAGAATCTGTTGTTACAGTGACTAATACCCTTCTAATTACTAATTTCTTGTTATATTACAGGACTCTTTAGCAGCTGAGATAGAGGGATCCATGAGAAAAGAACTTCAGATTGATGAGTCGGACCCCCTTGAAATGAAGTAGGACACATTTTACACTTCTGATAAATAAAATAACCAATAAACCAAAATAACAATCAGGGTTGTTTGATAAAGCAAAAACAGATTAGATACGAGCAATTACATTCTAATGTCTAAGACCCATCCAAAGTCCTACCTACTACCTTGGGTATATGCATATGGCAAAAAGCTTTGTATCATGTTCAAAATGTCCTGTTTGGCAGTGCAGCAAACACAGTCACATGATCCATTTACCGATCTTTGGTTTGGAATGCGGTTGCAATTCTTTACTGGCTCTGTTGCAAAAAAAAAATCTATATATAAATGCACATTTTTTTTTCTTTTGTGAAGAAGTGTGCATTTATTTTAGTTTTTTTCTAAAAGGTGAAATTTCCCTTTAATGGTTTATGGGAGTAGCCTTTTTATCAGAGCAGCTGTGTGGGGAAAAATATTTTAGGACTTGTTCTACAGCGCTCATGGGACCAATAGGTAAGGGTAAAACATTTTTTTGCATAACGGTAAGGGAATATCTTTTCCAGGAATAACTGTTTATTAGGCGAATTTCTCACTTTGTAGAACGTTCCTCTCAATTTCTGTTGTGTCTCCTAGATGAAAATTTCTCTATTAGGACTACTCTAAAAGCAGATAGTGAGGCCAGGGATGTCTTGTTTTCAAACTATTTTACTGTTAAGAATATGTGAATACTTTTAATGTTCATAGTCCATGGGCAAGTACACTTTAATGTTATTGGTATTGTGTTGCATATACCCTGTTTCCCTGAAAATAAGACCTACCCCGAAAATAAGACCTAGTACTATTTTTGGGAATTGCTAAAATATAAGACCTACCCTGAAAATAAGACCTACCCCGAAAATAAGACCTAGTACTATTTTTGGGAATTGCTAAAATATAAGACCTACCCTGAAAATAAGACCTACCCCGAAAATAAGACCTAGTACTATTTTTGGGAATTGCTAAAATATAAGACCTACCCTGAAAATAAGACCTACCCCGAAAATAAGACCTAGTACTATTTTTGGGAATTGCTAAAATATAAGACCTACCCTGAAAATAAGACCTACCCCGAAAATAAGACCTAGTACTATTTTTGGGAATTGCTAAAATATAAGACCTACCCTGAAAATAAGACCTACCCCGAAAATAAGACCTAGTACTATTTTTGGGAATTGCTAAAATATAAGACCTACCCTGAAAATAAGACCTACCCCGAAAATAAGACCTAGTGTGTTTTTTTGAGCTCCCAAAAATATAAGACAGTGTCTTATTTTCGGGGAAACACGGTATGATGCAACTTAAGAGAACTATGGGGTACATGTTTTTCCCCATAGTTCTCTTTAGGGTCGTGGGAGGACATATACTAACCTCCTCCCGTGACCCATTGCTCCGTATATTGCAGCAATATACTGAGAGCATCGCCGCTGAGACGGATCCCAACAATACTGTTGAGATCCACCCAGCTGCGTGAGTGACAGCTGGCTCTGCCTCATCTGGCTCTGCCTATCTAGAGGCAGAGCCAGCTGTGCCCACCCCCTCCCCTGTTCGTTCCTCCACACAGCGCTGGAGAAGGGGATGGGGAGAATCCCTGCAGGGAGCTGTGACTGACGGTCACCACTCACTGCAGGGAGACGATCGGTAAGTGAGCAGATCGGTGCATGTTTTTGCTCACTTCCTGTCAATAGAGCCGACCTGCGACAGCTTCATGGTCACAGGTCGGCGCTAACTATGATTATGAGTGGAAATCATTCACCTCATAGTTCTCCTTTTTAAGGTATCTCAACAAACACTCTCCAAAGCTGCCCATACACCTTGCAAAACTTTTCATCCGATGATTGAACCGTCGTACGATTTTCGTACGTCTGCCCCGATTATCGCATGGATCAATCAGCAGTTATTTACAAAAAAAAGCACCTGGACGAATTGCGGTAATCGACCGCACGTATTTTCGTTTGCACATGAGCAATGTAAATCGTACAAATTTTGACGTACAGAAACGCCACCAACCTTGCGAAAATCGTACGATTGACCGAAGTTTTCTAAAATGCTGGTTAGTCAAAAGTCGATCGATTGTACAGTATCTGAGGCTGTACATGGCCCATCAACCTTACGAATATCGGATGAAAACGTGATCGCATGCGAAAATCGGACGATATTCGTAAGGTAAATAGGCACCTTTACATGAACTCCTTTTTGTGTTTATATCTAGTTGATTAAGGACATGGGTTATGTTATGGTACATTGCTTACAGGGGAAGTATAGTTGTAATCAGAGTATACTTGAACTGTTTGCCCACCCATCCCTGACCTTAACCAACCCCCCCGCCTCTCCTGCATACAAACTGAGGTAGGAGATGATCCCATTGAATTAGTTTGGTTCTTTTGGTATCTACTGAGCATGCACTAGCAGCAGAAAAAAAATTCCAAACCAGTAGGAATTAAACATTGTGGCTGGTTATGGTTGCAAGCACTCGGTAAGTATGCACCTGGGCAGCGGAGGGTAGGTTAAAGTTGGAGGACAAATACCAAGTATACATTGTTTAAAAGTATCTTTGCTCTTGTTCTTATTCTTCATGCTTTTATATATGTTGCAAAGTTCAATGCATACAGTCACCGTATGTCCATATTAAATGAGACATTGTACAGAACAGTGTTTTTTGTGGAGAGTGCAGTAATATATAACAACCAATTATATTTCATACTGATATCCGAGAGGTTTTTTTTTTTTACTATAGATAACTTTATAGTAAACTAGATAGCTGCACTTTGCATATTGCTCGCTCTCTTCTTGAATAAACCTAATAAAGTACTAGAATGGAGAAAATGATTGTGCGCTATAAAAGAGTAATAATATTAATAAGAATGATTAGCATAAGATCTATCCCTCTCTCTCCTAGTGGCAATCATCAGAAGCGTGTGTTTGACACAGTGCGGAATGTCAACCAGGTAGTAAAACAAAGATCTCTGGCTCCTTCTCCAATGAACATCCCTGGCTCTAACCAGTCGTCTGCTATGAACTCTCTAATGTCAAGCTGTGTCAGCACACCACGCTCGAGCCTCTATGGAGGGGATATCTCTAACATAGTTATTGATAACAAAACTAATAGCATTATCCTGGAGACAGAGTCAACGGACAACAGGTTAGTTTTGTTTGATATACGTATATAGTGATCAGCAAAAAATGTGCATATGTTTTTCTATAAACACAAGGGAATTTATCAAAACTGGAGCAGACAGAATCTGGAGCAGCTGTGATGGCAACCGATCAGATTCTCTCTTTCATTTGCAAAGCTTAACTGAACAAACTGAATAGAGAAGCTGATTGGTTATTATGGGCATCTGCTCCAGATTTTCTCTGCTCCAGATTTCTCTGCTCCAGTTTTGTTAAATTCCTCCCAATGTGTAGATGCACTTTCCAAAGCATTACACAAGGATAAGGATCTTTTATTGTCATCTACATGGTTGTCAATTTTGAAATCTCACTGGCTAAAAATATTGCTACGTTTTTAAAAATGAGGATTCTTTGGTCTTGTGATAAATGCACCTTGCATCTGACTGTATAACATGCTTCTGAGATAATTCAGAGTTAATTGACAGGTTCATTTAACCTGCACTTGATCTCCTCCTTACCTGATTTGGACCTGAAAGTAGTGTATGGCCAGCTTTAGGGACCCCTGACACTGAAACTAAAGAACCAGCTTTAGACAAAGTAAAGCTAAATCAGAAGCTAATTAAAGTGACAAACTCAGGAGTTAAATCATATAAATGCATTCAATTACCCCAACTATTAACAAACATGTATCTTATTTGTGAATCACTCAGCTGTAGATCCTAAAATCACCTCTGAATTGGTTCTGACACTGTCCTTCCTTCTGGAGGGTGACTACTTTTATTCCCCATGGTCCCTGCGTGTGTTGTAAAGTAGCCACCACTACAAACTCATGTGATAAGACGATAAATTCAATGCAAATTGGCTAACTAAACAGGAGATTGTAGTCCATTTTTTAGTTCATTTATTTTGTTATTTTTTCCAGTGTTGCTTAACAAGAAATTGAAAAAAAAAAACCATTTTGACAAATTATAAAACAAAATGTTATTTACAGTAAAGATATTTTTTTAAAATCATAACACTGACCAAAATAGAAAAATAATACGTTTGTACACCGAGTGGCCAGTTTATTATGACCACCTGACGTTTGTAGGCAAATTAGCTATAATTTCGCGCTGAAGTTGCTAGAGGGCCTGACCATTATAAATAGGGAAGCAGGTTGTTTACCACGACAGTAGAAGTGATTTTTTTCTGAAGATACGGGGAAACAACGCGATCTAACAGCCTTTGAACGTGGGATGATTGTTGGCGCGAGCCATGGAGCGAGTATCAGCAAAACAGCAGAATTCGTTAAATTTTCAAGAGGGGCTCATTGTTAAAGTTTTTAAAGACTGGACTGTCAGCCGAAAATCTGGGTCTGAACATGCGAATTGTGGCCATCAGCGACTAGTCAATGTTAGGGAAGAACGGAGAGTGGCAAGACTGGTACAAGACAACAGAAGGGCAACAGTGCAGTGTCAGATTCCTCGCATCACCTTTCAACATCTCGTGGAGTCACGAGGCGGCCCAACGAAGTAAACTCGTGGAGTTATCTCGTGGCCCAACGAAGTACTGATGGGGTGGTCATAATAATCTGGCCATTCAGTGTATATATTACTTTATCCTAAGTAATGACAAAGTTATCGCCAAATAAACAGGCCCATGGTAGAAATTGGTCAAAATTGCTCTGGTCTGGTAAGGGGTATACAGCTATGAATGCTGAACTGGTTATCCCCCTCCTCCAGTAACCTGAAGCAAATAAATTGCTTTGGAGAGTGGTCTCCTCTGAAGTTATTTTACATGGATATAGGTTTGTAGATGTGCTGTGCCGTGTTTTTTGGCTGTGTGTTTATTTACAAAAAGAAATAAGCTATATTTTGTCCTGTTCCGTGCACTATATGTTTTTGTTTTCTTTGTCTATAGTGATGATAAGAACAAGAAGCCTGGAACACCGGGCACTCCAGGGTCTAATGACCTAGAGACAGCTTTGCGGCGGTTGTCCCTTCGGAGAGAGAACTACATCCTAGAGCGCAAGTTCTTTGAAGACGATCAAGAGCGGAAGCTGCGTAGCCTTGCTGAGAAAGAAGAGCTCCGCAGTGGGTCTCTAACGCCTACAGAAAGCATCATGTCCTTGGGCACCCACTCCTCCAGGTTGTCAGAGTTCACTGGCATCTCAGGAATGTCCTTCAGCAGCCGCTCTTACCTGCCAGAGAAACTGCAGATCGTGAAGCCCCTAGAAGGTGACAAGGGGCCCAGGCCCTTCTATGTTTTGCTTAGTGAATCCTTGTGGTCTCTGATACATCACCAAAAAGCAGGCACTTTACACAACTCGCACTCTTTCTATTTTAGGGACAGCCACCCTCGATGTTGGTTTGAGGTCTTTTAGAGTTAATGCTATATAGCAGAGTTCCCAACCTTTCTCAGCTTGTGTACCATACATACAGTACCGGTTAGATAAAGAAAAAGAAAAAAAAATAATTGAGGATGTACAAATGTGTAATTCTTAAGCTGTAACTAGCAATAGGTATTAATTCCTTAACTGATTTCTAAAAGGTCAAGCTTGGTTTGGGTTAGTGTACTCGGCACGCCCTTAACACACTTTGTTCTGATGTAATGACTAAACAAGTATAGGGGAAACAGAGTAGTGAAAGATTAAAACCCCTGTCAGGTTTTTATTGGTTGGAAACATATCCTGACCGTGCTAAAACCTGACAGTAGTTTTAATCCCGCTCCACTGTCCTGTTTGTGTCTCTGGAAATATTTACTGTCAAGAAAGGGGAATATTTAACAAAACCGAAACACAAACTTTCCTGAAACTTTGTTTTAAATGACACAGAATGTGTTTAATGGTGCAGGAGTAACAAATAGGCCGTCTAGGAGTTCCTTCTGAGATTCTGCCGTTAGCTACATATGGAGTAAAAGTCACTGGTTGAGGACCACTGCTTTTATAGGATGTGGTGTAGCAATTGGCTTATAGGAAACAGATGTATTATTATTGTTATCACAAACCACTTTGTTTGTGATGAGATCTAGTATGTATCCTTATTAAGTAAAACCGCATTAGATGAAAAGGGTACAATAGTTACACTTTTAACTGATATTAACCAAAATGATGAGCACAGGTTTACCTTGTATAAGTAAATCATTTGTGGAAATGTTCATACACACATCTTCCTTTAAAGAAGCAGAAATTGTTGAAATTTGGAGAAAACTATCTGAGTTAAATTAATCAGTTTGCAAGTACACAGCCTCTGAAAAAATAATAATAATAATAATAATGTTGTTAGATGGGTTATATATTTGATCTTTAAATTGCCCTTTGGTCATTTGAATCTTCAACACTGTGTTAACATCAGCTACTTTGAATCAGAATTCACTTTTGAGCAACTTGGCAGATGCTGTGCACTTATTAAAAAGCACTTTGAAATTTGTACCTTAATGACAGTCTGAATGTAGAGAGAGTGCTATATAAAACATGGTTAGACAGATATGGCTGTTTAGTCCTAATTGAAGTGTTTCTCTTGATAACTGTAGACCCTTTAACCCCATAACTTAGTCATTACGAGTACATAATGTCTTATTTTGCCACATTTATAAAGCCACCAAAGCCCAGGAGCTTAGTAAAATTATGTCATGGCTTTTTTTGAAAAAAAAAATAAATGCACTTTTAAATGTTTCAACCGCCAAGCACTTTTGAGCTTTTCTGTAATTTATGCTTTGGTATTTACATTCTGCTTTGTGTGTTTACCTGCTGCCCTTATTGGACATCATGTAATGCCATGTGCCCTTGTATCGCTTCTGATCTTTCAATAAAATCTGTTACTTTTCTTCTATCTTCACTTTTGTTTTCCTCTTTATCCATTGAATTCGTTATATTTTGTTTTGTCAATTTGCTTGCTCACAATATAATAGGGGCATATGGTTCATTTGGGAAGCCGGCCTTTCTACTTTTTAAAATTCTGTCAGAGTAGACCTCACTTTGTTCTTTATACACTCAAAAGTAAATCTCCAGGCAGTGTCCAAGGGTAGGTCAAGTTTGTATTGCCTGTGTTGCTATTGGGGAGTTCCCTCACTTTTTATGCTAGTAAAACTTGTTACCAAGGCAAGACATATCTCCAGAGAGGACCCATAGATCTATAACAACATGGGGAAGTGTTTGAACCTTTGGTCACGGGGACAATAAATGAGAGGGAGAATCTCACCTACAAAGCTCCAAAAACCTGACATTGGTTCTTACCCTTCTTCTGCAGTTACTCTAGAATGCTATGAATTTGATACTCAGTGTAATCATGAGTCTGATCTGCTGGTAATTTTGTTCACCCCAAGAAGAATGTCTGATTAAAATTTAGTTTAACAGATTAAAAAGAGTCTTCAGTAAAAGTTTTATTGTATGCCCCTTTTTATATTGTGACTGAGAATTTATAGTTTAGTACGTCCATCGTAATCTTTATTGATTTACAGTATCTATCTTTGTTTTCGATTTTCTTTTCTTATTTCTGCATTTCCCCTTTTCATTCTTTTTATTTTTTTCTTTTACTGCCTTCACCTTGACCATGCTTCCAGCTCAAAGACAAAAAAGGTTCAGGGTGTGTTCTAAGTGCTGTAATCAATGGTATGTATACCTTGTAAGGATTTGCAGCAGAGTGTCAGGCCAATGCATGTCCGAGCTTCCCTTTCATTCCTTTGTTGCTAAAGGTAGTGTATATAGATGCATTGATCCCTATATTAAAATACCTGCATATTGTAAATCACTACTTTAGCTTGTAGGAAGGCAGGGAAATCTCCCCACCTAAGTCTTGTAGAATTATATGAACCCATTAGAGAATCAAATACTTGATTGCATTTAGCTTGCATTTGATATCAGTTCGAGACACTCGTTAGATCATTCTGAATTAATTGGCAGGTATTTCTGACCTGCATTTGACCTCCTCTTAAGCTATTAGAAGTTGCTTTTGCATTGCCATGGACTTGCTGGGGGTGAGGGGGGAGGGGGGTGAAGCCGTACTGGCTCAAAAGCACATGTGTACAGGTCCTTAATCTGTTGGGAGTAGGGATAAGCAGTATTAACTCTGAATCTCCCATTAAACAACTCTGAGGTGTTGCTGTTGTTTTCAGGCTACAGTGAAAGGTGGGGAACTCTCCAAGTTCCTACAAGAAGGTGCCTTAGTCATATAAAAGAATTACATTTTATAAAATCTTCAGTACACAAATCAATGAATTCCACAAGCATGACCTCTTTGTCCCCCAACGTATATCTGTGTGTGTTTTAAAACACACCTGATCCTTCAACACTTCACAACATATTAAAAAAATAAAAATATTAGATTGTTTTGTAGTGTGTTGGGGAAAAGGACATATTTTAGTGTGTAGATGTCTGTTGAGGACCCAGAAAGGGCCAATGCAATTTTAACACTTAAAAAAACATGGGTGGCAAAGTGTGAATAGGCCCAGAAGGGAAATAATAGTTGCTCACTTCCTCACCCTCTCTGTGTGCTTTTGGGTGTATGTTCCTGACTTTCTCTCTGTCAAAGAAGATTGTGTACATTATAACCTAGCTCATTTTATTTTTAGGTTTTACTTGTCACTGAAATAACACTTTGTGACATTGTGCAACACTAGTTGTGGGGAAATTAGTCATCTGGTGTCGTGGCAGAGCTGCTTAGTTTATGACAGGGTGTTCCAAATTATGCAGAAATTCTCTTGAAAAGCACCCAGGCGTGAGTATGTTTGAAAGCCCTATAAAGATTAGGGATCTCCTTCTTGCAATTGCCTAACTATGCTTCACTGTGTACCAGTGAAGGGAAATCTTGTGCTTGGCAAGAGAATGTAAAATCTTTTCAACTTACAATGCAGGACTATTGGCCCTATATTGTACTTGATGATGTCAGCATGCAACTGCTGGTCAGAACGTTTTAGAAAAGAGGCTTCAGGGACCAAGTGTACAGATGAAGGGAGCCTGTGGGAGGAAGGAATTTTAAAAATATTTTTTAAACATCCCTTGCACATAATTGGGTATTAAAAGTGAGAAGTCTCTATTTCTTTAGTAACTCAATCCCCCCTGTGTTGTTAATATCTCATTAATTGATGAGACAGAGTCTTTGTACTAGAGCTGGCCACCCATGTATCGATGTGATGGAATGATTGCTGATCATTCAATGTGACTAAAATAATCTAATTGAGCATTATTTATTATAGATATTTATATAGCGCTGACATTTTACACAGCGCTTTACATTGAGCACATTCACATCAGTCCCTCCCCTCAAGGAGCTTACAATCTAAGGTCCCTATCATATGATTACATAGAGGGCCAATTTAGACAGGAGCCATTTAACCTTTCAGCATGTCTTTGGAGTGTGGGAGGAAACTAGAGTACCCGGAGGAAACCCACACAAGCACAGGGAGAACATGCACACTCCTTGCAGATAGTGTCCTTAACCGGTATTTTCAAGGCAGCACTTGAGAATTACAAATAATTATAATAAGAAAGAATTATTAACCCATAAACTCCATTTGATTGACTTGGTGAGCTTTCGATCGATTTCAACGCAGGCAAGTTGTTTGGTGGAATTTTGTTGTTTACTCATTAAATACAAAGGCATGGCTTCCTGGATTTGCTTTGCTCGTATACTTGCTCTCAATAAAAGTCTACGAGACAGTCTGACAGAAAATACTGTCTAATGACATGAAAACCTGACCTGAAAAAGCACAATGATGATTTTCCACTGACACACCTATCGGAAATTCTGTTACTCTATTTTTGAGTACCAACTTCATGTTTAGTGCTCAACCATGCTTTGGACTGTGTGTGTTTTAAAAAAAAAAAAAACTGTAGCAAACACAAGTGAATACCTTTTAATGACATTCTAGATCAGGGACATTGAAATCAAATGATGTGGGTGAGGGATGGAGCTCCAAAATTATTTTCATTATTGAACCAAAAATGTAATTGGAGAATGTGACTTGATATGTTGGGTAACTTACAAACAACATTGTCAGTAACTGTACCTCTATTCTGTTTTTTGATTGCACAAAAACAGCTTAAATCGCACCAGCCCTTCTGTTCCTAGCTATACATATGCAAAGGAAAACCAACCTTCTGACATTTTTTACAATTGATATTGATACTTATACCTAATAGGACTGGTCATGATTATGATTTCAATAGTCTGGGGAAGGTGTATGGGGACATATTTGGCAATCCAGTGGGGTCTGAAATCTTGAATAAAGGATAGAACCCCTCTTCTAGGGGGTGAGTGTTTTTGTCTTCAAATTCCAAAACCTCAGTGAAGCTATAGCAGATTAAATTAAAAGAGAGAAATTCCTCAATCTCATGATTTGCCAGTGAACTTTTATGAATCATAGAAATAAACAATCTTACCATCTGTCTTAAAAAGAAATGCTCAGTTACTCATGAAATGAGCTTGATCAGGAGTTCACCCTCAAAACTTTCCTTGAACCTCTGCATACAAACAAATTTAATAATTAGCAAAAGTACCTGCTCACTTGCAGATTTTTGATTAGGAAGTCCATCTATTCAGCTTTCATGTTAAGGTACATCTAAAGGCTCCTGCATGAGTCTAAACGAGTCCCAAATTCAGTTAGTTTGTGTTGCATAAGCCCCCCTAAAGTAAACAAAAAAAACATCCTTTAGTTTTCCTGACTCATCCAAATCCTTTTTTTTTTTTCTTTACATGCTCCCCCTCAAAGACATTTCAGCACACAGTGGGAGGGTTTCAGCAGCAAAGGCAGTGCTGCCAATCCAGAAAACAGTGGGCAGGACTAGGTATGTCTAGGTGCTGATTGACAAGCTACATGCTTGTGAAGTAACAATGCTAATAGCTACAGCCCCTACAACATGCCACTGTACTGCAAGCAGGCACAGCCTACATGAGAATGGTATTGCTGCTCTGAATTAGGGGCAGTGCAGCATTGTTGCCACCCTATGACAGGAAGTTGCATTAGAAGGACTTTACTGACAGACTCAACAGGTATCTGTGGGAATTTTCAGGGATTTAAGATAAAACTGTAATACCATTGTCATGCCATTGCAATATTTTCTTTTCTTATGTACGCATAATAATGATATGCATCAGTCTTAAACTGTAGCCTTTCCAGTACACAAAACCCTTCAAGGTCCGCTTATTTAGTAGGTTCTAAGAAAGGGTAGACAATAGACAAAATTGGTGCAAGAAAACCAGCAGATCATTGAAATAGCTTCAAGGAAAAGGGGAGGCTATCACTGTTGAAATATTTTTGAAAAAGTTAGTTCTCCTGTATCCTTTCACGGTATCTGGGTTAGCTACTCTGGATTCACTACTTTCAATAAAGTCAGACAGGTAGAGGTAGCATTTTGGGATGGCAATCACCTTTGACAGCCAACATATTTCTCTTGGTACATGCTTTGTTTCAGTGGCCCGCAGCTGGAAAAATTTGACTTATTCACATATCTTTTTATGTTGTTAACATCTAGTAATAAAAGAAATGCCCCTTGTTGACCACTGGTATTGTATAAGTTGCCATATACAAGCTGAATGTTCGCTTAATTAGATGTTATCTGGCAACAGTCTGGTATAAGGACAAATACATTATTTTGTCAGATTGGTATCACAGGTTAGGTAGAAAGTCTTTTTGTATAACTGTCGCTGACTGTGTATGTACAAAGTGTAAGAGTGATTTCATAGTTTCCTCCAAAAAGATTTGGCTGCCCGTTCATTCATCAGGTTGTGAGGCATTATTCGCAATGCTTTATTCATTAATGTTTGGAAAGAAAGCTTAGGCTGCATATGAAATGTATTTTCATATTGTGTGTTGGCATGCCTTGAATTGCATTGTGGTAATGTGGAACTTAAGTCTAAAAAAAACGCATTGCTGGCAACTTTTTACTGCGGAAGAGGCTCTGTATGTCTCATGTGCCAGCGATGTTGTTTAAAAAAAACAAAAAAACACTGAGCCATGCAAATGGAGCTCAGGGTAAATTCTTGGCATGTCTTTGGTGCAGGGATGCAGTAAATGTGCAGGAGTTATGTCATCCCAGCCAATCCAGATGGCTAAAGATGCTCAACCCAGAAAAAGACTGGGTGAACGTGGCAGTGGCTAAGCGACAAGGGGGACTGTGACCATCTCATTGCTGGTTGGGGCACATTGACAGGTTAGTCTGTCAAAGTGCAAATATGCTGTACATACCTGAACCTTCTGTAAAAACCCCTGAGCTCTGGTAGCATAGTTTTAAGTGACACTAAACTCAGGAGTTAAATCTTAATACACTCCAGTACCTTTTAACTATTAACAAAATTGTATCTTATTTGAGTATCACTCGGCTGTAGATCCTCAAATCATCTCTGAATTGGTGCTGACACTGTGCTTCCTTCTGGAGGGTGACTACTTTTATTCCCCATGGTCCGTGTGTGTGTTGTAATGTAGCCACCGCTCCAAGCTTGCTTCCTTGATGCACTACAATCTCACTTTAATTTATTCATTTGTATTGAGATTGTAGTCCATCATGGGAGTGAGCTTGGAGCAGTGGCTACTTTAGCTTTTATGGTGGAATATAACCCACTGATCTAAGCCATTTTTTAACCAATATATACTTTGCTTATTACTATGGTAATATATATCTATATATAGATCTATACTGTATTATACACTTACAAAAGGCAACAAACACATTCAGATTTAGTCTCCTTTTATTGTCTGCATTTTGGGAATCCTTCTCTTTAACTGAACTTATTGTAGAGTGTAACTTGATAAACATAGGCACAATTGTGTTCAGACCCTGATGAACTGTATCACAGCCTTTCTATATCTGGGACAAGGCTTATAAATAGATAATTCTTGTTTTTTTTATGTTGGAAGGTATATTCCTGTAACGTATAGCTGTACCTGAACACCAGTTTTCTTGCCTTTTCAGGATCAGCAACTTTACATCAATGGCAACAGTTGGCACAACCACATCTTGGAGGAATCCTGGATCCTAGGCCTGGTGTTGTTACCAAAGGCTTCCGAACCTTAGATCTGGACCAGGAGGAAGTGTACCGCTTCACAGACTATGAAGAAGATGAGACAGGTGACATTCCTTACAAGAGCTTAACTACCTCGAGTTCCGTCCATCACTCAGAGACCTCAGGTGAGAGGTCTCAAGCACAAGTGACTGTGTCTGACAGCAAGAATTGTTCAAGCCTTTCTCATGCTGCCCCCGAGGATTTGCAAGAGCCCGCGACAGACGATGATGAGGGGTCTGGTGAGGGATCCTCCTTACGTCCTGTAAAATGGACATCTTCACAGGATATTAAATATTGGGCCATTTTCACCTCCACACCACAACACATCCGCACGTGTGTTTCTACATTCAGAAAGTGATCTCCTTACTACTAAACCATTAATCTCTAAATAAGCAGATCCCATTGGTTGCATTTGTTTTACATTTTGCTAGAACCACAGTTTTTCATGTATAAAGGCTGCTAAAAGAACGAGGCTGGCAAATGACGATTTCACATATTTTCACAAATTAGGTGCCAAGCATTTCAAAAAAACGTTTTTGACTGAGTAGTCTTGTAAATGAAAATATTGCATGTTTTAATGTTTGCTTTCTGCAGAAACATCAGGGTGCTGTAAACAAAGTTTACAAGGAATTTGCACTGTGCTAAACTACTTCTAGTGTCACCACTCCAAGGAATGTAAGGCTACCTCTGTAATGATAAAAACCATAGCAGGTTAATCTTCTCGCCAGAGTTCCCAGAGAATAGAAGAAATCAACTTGGAATTCAACCCAGTGGTATGCACTCAAAACTGACATTTTGGTTTTGGATGTTCTAAAGTGCTAAATCATGAAAGGCTATTTATTAATTTCTTTGCATTGGCCTTGCTTGCAACACAGCATGTTGGTAATAACTTAAATTGCTATGTAGCAAGAGATTTTAATCTCCTGTGAAGTTTAACCATCAGCCATTCGAAGACACTTGTAGCAATAAGGCTGCCATTGCCGATCTTCTCAAAATGTTATCTCAGTGGTAGGCAACCTCAGCACTCCAGCTTTGGTGAGAAACTACAAATCCCATGAATTCTTTACTTAAAGTGACACTAAACTCAGGAGTTAAATTTAAAAAATGCATTTAAATACCTTTTAACTACTAACTAAAATTTATCGTATGTGTATCACTTGGCTGTAGATCCTCAAATCATCTCTGAATTGTGCTGACACTGTACTTCATTCTGGAGGGTGGCTACTTTTGTTCCCTGTGGTCCCTGTGTGTTTTGTAAAGTAGCCACTGCTCTGAGCTTGCTCCTGTGATGTACTACAATCTTTCATTTAGTTTACTAATTTGTATGGAGATTGTAATCCATCACGGGAATGAGTTTGCAGTGGTGGCTACTTTACAATACGCACAGTAGCCATGGGGAACAAAAGTAGCCACCCTCCAGATGGAAGGACAGTGTCAGCACCAATTCAGAGAAGATTTGAGGATCTACAGCCGAGTGATGCACAAATAAGATACATTTTAGTTAGTAGTTAAGGTACTTGAATGCATTGTTAAGATTTAACTTCTGAGTTTAGTGTCACTTTATGTAAAGAATTTGTTAACCGGAAGCTCAGCCTGTTAAGGTGCTCAGAGACGATATATCTCATGATTTGTCTCGTTTGTGGGCAGCTTTAGACAATCCTGGCCTACATATTTCTGGGGAGAAAGTAATATAATAAGTAAGAAAAACTAGTATAATTGCTTCATGTTTCCTGATGGTAAACCAGTGCAGGGATTTACAGTTCCCTTACTTTTACACATATCAATTATCTGTTTATGGAACCAATAAGCACTTACAGTTGCTCACCTTCACCACCTTTACAGTCAAGTACAATCACATGAACATTTTGCATATTGTGCAGGTCATCTTATTCCATAGGAGCTAACCTGTCCATTGCTGTACAAACATTTGTTGTCCATATTGATAGTAGGGGGGGCAAATGTTTTTGCACTTAGGAGCCAGGGTACCAACAACAGTTGATCCTTCTGCTCCCCACCTGAAGAGAATTGCTAGGTATGACCTGAGTGCTCGATTTATTGCCATAAGACATCAATTCAGGGGTTATTCAGATCATATGTGCACATCTTGTCATTTCCTGATGTCTGTGGCCAGCTTTACTAGAAAGCCTTAACAATGTACAACTAACTCCAGACTTGGAGAGCGGTTAGTCTGAAACTACATTGCAATCTACTTGCATTGCCATATACTTTACCTCTTTAAAGGAAACTTATGAGGATAGAAATGTGGGAGCTTCCACTGCTGACATCTAAATGTGAGTATTGTAGTACTGTTGTTGTTATCCTGGCTTCACTAATTCACAATCCTTTGGCATGGTACAAATATCCAGACTTCACCTGCTACGTGCTTGTTTTAGGGCAACTGGGTATTAAAGCCATGATCAGAATAATGGCCTGTACACAATAAAAAAAAAACAGTGGTTGCTCCCATCTCTATCATAGGCTTCATTTACTGTAATACAAAGTTTTAAAGCCGCAGATTCTCATTTGTTGATCTTGGTAAGAATAAATAACTGCTAAAGTTGTTGGCGAAGAGACCCTTTTGTATGGTGATGCATCTGGTAGTTAGACATGTGCTGTTTTTATGGGAAATGTCTTATGCTGCAACAAGTAGGGTTACACTGCCATCTTGTGGAGGTTTGCAAGTAAACAGGTTTCATTTTGTCTTCTGTTCAAAATTGGCAGAGGTGTGCTATTACATTTATAAGTGGATATAATGATGCACATGTTATTATTTACAGTCAAGTACATATTTTAGGTATGCCATTACATCTATATCAGTACACGGGCAGTGTTTTATTAGCAGGGAGAACTCATTTGTTCCTGTTTTGGCTTGTAGTAATTTTACACAGCATTTCACAACTTTATAGGAGTCTGGTCACTTTTGTAGTGACTTGTTAATGTGTAACTCCACCTTAAAAAGAAATTTGGTAATATATGACGTATGCTGTCCTCAACTTTATCTAATGTGAAATGTTCAAACTGTTACTTCCTGCAAGATACATATAGACACTGCTGTTAACAACATGACTGTACACATCTGGAGCTGCGCTTGGCCATGCTATAACTGGTGTGCCGAGCTATTCTTAAGCTGATTTTGATAACCTTACAGTTGTAGCACAGTTGGGCAAACAACGAGCACAATTATCCGTTATCAAAGCATACATCTGTACCAAATTAGAGGGGAAATAACACAATGAATCCTCATGATAGGCATATGCTTCTGTGCAGGGTTAATAAATCCGTACCAGAAAAGTTCTATACCATCAGAGGCTTTAACACTCTGAATAAATATATAAACCAGTAATTGATTTCACAGGCTGTATACTTGTTCCAGGTCATTGGTTCAAGAATTGGTCAGAGATAGTTGGGGAGCTAGCAAATGTAGTCGTTTAGCAGTGGCAGCCTACAGATATCTCACAATACCAATTTACTTTCAATATTCCACAAGTCTGTAGATTCTTCTTAACATTAGGTGAATTTGGAATATTTCTTATTGGTCACAATGAACAATCCCAAAACCTGCACATCATAGGAAGCTCTTTTCAGCAGTATCAGATTTGCCATAAAGTTAGAGTTAAAAGTCAAGAGTTGGAGTAGCAGTTGTTACTGGACTTAGGAAAGAGTTTGTATACCATGTCTTGAATACTAGTTCTTGTGACCGTGCATACTTGCATATAAATGATTTATATTTGTCCCCTTATTAAGCTTTTACTTTCTTTGGCTGCTTTGCCTGACACTTCGAGATACTTGTCAGACTAGAAATACTGGAGCTGGAATCCATGTATTTGCTTTACAGCTTACTGAGTCAGTGACCTATAACAAGAATGTGGATGTAAGGTGTACAGGTCAATGACTACATTTGGAAGGAAGGATTAGGATGACCAATCCAGATCTCGCATTGACAATTTCTCCTAATGTGTATGTTTTAAGCTTGTCAAAGTTCCGAAGGTCACCTAAAGTCTGACAATTCCTGCCCTCCTCAGCAGCTATTGTGTGAGGTCATGCAGTTATTAAGGCACACCTCTCAGACTTTTAGTGGCCTCTGATCCCCTGACTCAAGATGATGTATGAGGCTTTGATAGACTCATACCGAGTAAAGCTAAATAAGGGGTTGAATAAAAATATTAGTAATGCCGCATAGTTATATGTGAATGAAAACTCATATTCTTGATAAGCCCAATCATGAGTGGTTCACTTTAAATTCTGACACTAGAGCATCTTAAAATTGAGAATGCTGCCTTCTGCATTGTCAGGGACAACACATTTTTACACTTGTATGTGTCTGTAATATAATGTGCACTTTTCTATCTAGAATTACTGAACTTCATAGTATAGGGATCATATTTTAAATGTTTGTTTTCATTTTATTTACCGCACTCATCATGCTATATTCAGTCCTGCCACTTTTTTTTTTTTCTTGAATTTTAGAGAAACATACTGTATATTTATGTAAATAGGATCTGGTCCTCCATGGATAGTTTTGCACTGCTAAATGATCTTTTTGCACTAATGGAAACTATTTTTGTACATATTTGTTGATACATTTCCATGAGATTTTATGGGACAAAGCTAAATGCTCTTATTAAAGGGAGTTTTGAAATACTTAAATCATGCATATTGTGTTCCATCTTTTTTGGTGTAATATTTTTATGTTTGATACTGTGGTAGTTTGTAACATTTTTTTGTTATTCATTTATTTTACAACAGCTAGACAGATGAAAGTAGAATGAGAGCATATACATTCCAAGTATTCCAATTATTTCATTGCTGTCCAGTTATCTGTGTAATTGCATCAATTATAAAGAAGAACTGTGGGCAAAGAAAAAAACTTACTCTTGCAGTGGGACCACCCACATGCTGCAAGAGTTAAGTTCTCATTTTGCCTAAGGGACTCAAAGCTGCTTTACTGGCTCCCTGCAGGCTGCTATACTAGTTCCTGCAGCCTCCTTCCCCCCTTTTGCTCTGGCGGTCTAAGGACCACTGACATCATCATGTCTTATGTAGGTCCATTTACCTACATTAGATGTGAGGATGCCGAAGAACATTCCACCAGCGGGAACAGAAGGGGAGAGAGCAGGAGCCGGGATCAGGTAATTAAAAGGGCTTTTATTTCCATCCCCTAGACAAAACAAGCACTTAACCCTTGCAGTACAGGGGTAGCCCCAATGCAATGGTAAGTTTATGTTTGTTCTTTGCCCAGAGTTCTTCTTTAACACCTGTAGCCGGCTGAGCAAGATAAAATTCAGGATGTATAGTTGTTGTTATTGTTAACTTGACCGGGCCAGTATAATACAAGCGTGCACTGATGTTGGCATAGCTTTTAGGTTGCAGTAGAACACCAGATGAATCTATACCTAAAATGTCCTTGGTCTAGTCATGTATTCATTAAAAAAACACTCACACACCTACCTATACTTTCCATAATCCTCTGCATGCCAAAATCATGCTGAGTGAAAGTTCCAGCTCTCTGAGAAGGACCTTATGGCATTGTACTGTCAGCCTAACATGTTTCAAGCAGTGAGAGCTGGTAGCAGGATTACAGGGGCAGGAGTTGGAGGTCTATGGGAGGACTTCATCATTGGGTCAGCACAGAACAATGAGCAGGTGTAGAGGTGACACCAAAGTTACAGTGCTTCAGTCACCCACACTAGCATGGTAGCAGTATGTTAGTCACAGTGTATCAGACATGAGAACGCAGAGGGAGAGGCTGTGGGGACCGGTTTAACAGCCAGGAATATCTGAGTATATATTTTTTTTGTTAGATCCTAGATCAAAACAGGCACTTAACCCTTGGAGTGTGGGATTAGCCCTATTGCAAGGGTTAATTTGTCATTTGCCTGGAGTTCTTCTTTATGTGAATACAGTTCTAAGGTTTTTATGTTTGTGACTCCAGTGGGGAGAGTTCTCCTTGCTTTGTGTCTTAGTGACACCCCTGTAACACCAGGATAAAAAGAATGAGGGGAACAGGGGTTACCAGTTCAGGAAGACACACAGAGCAATAAAAGCCTGACAAAGGTTCTAAATGTGGTTTGGGATCACAGACTGTTCTAAAATCTCCAATCTAAAACAAAGAGAACTTTTGGCCGGAGTTGGGTTTAAGCTGACTCCAAGATAAAGGATGTTTTGGCTACATGGTAAATCTTTTGTTTTTCTTTTTGTAAAACCACTAATGCTCATTGAACCTGCAGCTTCAGTTATGTGATGTTAATCCCTTGAAAACATTGGAAAACTCGAGGTTTGTTGAGGAAATGTACATAATGTACAAGCTATCTGCTTACTTTACTGTCGCCTTTCAGTCTGCTCCTTATAAGCAGTTTGTACCTTTATCGTTTCTGTGCTACAATCTTTGCTTGACTCTAATTTTAGCAGCCTTTATAGCTAATCAATAATTGATATAACATTTGGAAGCATTATTATGATTGATCAAATGCCTTCAGTGGTCTTCAAAATGAAGAGATTGCTAATATACTACATAGCACACTTCTTTCCTGAGATATACAAGACTATGGCAATTTTGTATTCACTATAATATTACTCAGGAAAGAATTTTGCTAATCTACATTTCTTTTCCTTACTAATCATACTTTGTCTTCACCTTTCTATCATTGACAGGATCTAAAAAGTTACTCAGTTCTCCCCCTAAACCACACCAGATATAGATATCTATAAATGCCCAAGTGCATGGCAACTTGCCTTGATGGGTTTCCAAAGAACCCATGATCCGTTTCAGCTTCTGCATTATGGCCTGTTAAAATGTCTTTAAATGGGCTTTCGCTCTGTCTTTGTGTACAGTGGATTTGCTTCAAACCACTTAAAACTTTATTGGCAATGTATTACCTACTTTTCATTTATTGCCTTAGCAGTAAATGTTCATTGTCTAGTACATATTAGTTCCACATACAGCACATGCTGTAGAGGACAAACATCGAATCCACTTTAAACATTGGAGAGAAAGATTTGTCGCCCCATAGCAAACAGATATTTGTATTTTTCAATCTGTCCTCGTAAACTAACCAGAATCTAGTGAAGCAACATTTCCATGGTCCATCATTCAAGTTTTTAATACATGGACCTCTGTACGCTAACACTTTTAATCGTTCAGCAAAGCTAAGGGTCAGAGGCACTATGCAGAATCACATAGCATCAGGCTGATCTGATTCAAATTCTGTTGGTTGCTATGGCTAACAGCAATTCTGTCCTCAGCATTAGTGTGATAGTCATCCCTCCAAATTCTATCATGATCGAATGCCCCTTTCAATCGAAAGCTGATTTTGGACATGCTGTGACCAAAGAATGCCATGCTTTGTGATTTAATATAATTTGATGGTTGTGGTCAATATGATTATAAGCTAACATTATTTTTGTAACTCCTTTCTGTACATGCTTCTTCCAAAGATTAGACTTTGATATTGTTTGATATGTGGATAATAGATGTCTTATTGTCTTGTATGTAGTGCACCATCCGGGGAAATGCTTGTCTCAGACCAGCTCCACATTCACTTTTACTACTTGTCGGATCCTGCACCCATCTGATGAACTCACCCGCGTCACTCCAAGGTTAGTTATCACCTCATAACGCTCTGTCCTCTTAAGAGAACATAGTGTTCGCAAAGCCAAAACATATTTTTTTGTTAGACTTTAAAAACCTGTCAGCTTTTTATTGCTGTCTGTTTGCCCACTGAGAATATTCACCCTATTTGTACTGGTGACTCGTCTCTAGTACAGAAATTGAGGGGAAATCCAAAGTTTTTGAGTTGTTGCAGAAAGGAGGGGAAATCTTTCAATGGGAAAACCTGTCATTGAAGAGACCTCCTCTTACTTCCTGTTTTGTCTCTGAGTCAGGAAATGAAACAAAATTTCCATATGGGACTCGGACAGCAATAAACAACCTGACGTGTATTGTTGTCACCAGTGTGTTACAGTAATGTTGTACCTTGCAGTGCTATTTATTTTGAATGGCACCCCAGCACACCACCAATACGCACCTAAACTGCCACGCAGTGCACAATGTGCTTTACAGTATAAAATGCAGCATGCCCCAAATTTTACATGTTTTGAGGTGCTTTACAGCCTATTCTTAATCGGCTACGTAATGCAAACGCACCTCAACATACGAAAACACTTATGCTGTGGTTCATTGCTGTTAGGTGTGTATGGGCTCTAAAACAAAACAAATGTCCAACGCACTCAACAATTTGTCACCAACTATACAGTAAGGTGCACACGAAATGGGCTTCAAACAGTAGACAGTAGAAAGGTATCATGGCACATTTGGTGCAGTGATGCATGGGGGTTCTTAGCTGCCATTGGGATGTGCGGGATCCCTTGTGTGTTCCTGTGCCTTTAAGGAGGTTGCGCTTCCTCCTGACAAACCTGCACCCAACTTGAAATCTTCTGCCCCCATGTGATCCAAGATGGAGACTCTCATAGTTTAGAGTTAGGACCGCACTATAAGAGGTGCCTTGGCGAGGCTGTGCGGCTTTCACATTTTCTGCAGAAGACGTGTATGCAAACCTCTGTTATTAACCTTAGTGTTGAGACAAGTTTTTTTACATGCTGACTTGTGAGTGTGCCATGATGCCTTTCTACTGGGCTCTAAAACATTCCCCGAAAAAGGAAAAGTTTTGGATTTACATAAACTTTAATTTTCTCATGTTTTAAGATCTGCAGGAGAGTCTGAATACAATATACTGTGTGAGTGTTTGTATCACAGGAGTCACACACGGCATATTGTTTACACCTGCAAACAAGAAATGGCTTGTGGACTTAGACTACGTATGTTAACGCTCACTTAGCAGCTGCCTAACCAGAAGCGGTTCTTTACAGGTCATTTGATGGAGAGGAAGAAAGCACTTTATACCAGGTTATTCTAAGAGAAGCTATAGGGCAAGCTCTGTGACTGAGCATTACAGGGGGTGAGCAGTACTACTTTATGGAGTCTGTTGCTTGTTGGAACGCCAGTTTGTTTGAAACAAGATAACATAGAGAATGACAGCGTCTTAACACAGCTAAGAATCTCTAGATGCTTCCTCTCATAGGTTCAATGGCATGTTGTCTTGCTAGACTGATTCACATCAACTAAACTACTGAATTACTACTACTAGCATGTATTTGTAAGTAAAACTGTTAGCATTTTAACATATAAACATACAATACAAAAATATTTTAGTTGACCTAGTGTGTGCAATTTTCATGGTCCTATAACCTGAATGATTTTGGACTGTTAAGTTGGCAAAGCCTTTTTTTGTTTTGTTGCATGTGTAAGCTTCATCCAAAGAGGAAAATATTAGAAATTAAAAAAATAGTAGAAATACATAAAATGTAAGGAATAGATAGGGAATTAGGTTGAGAAACAAAATCGGGTATAACAATTTTGACCTATCAGTGCTGGGGTAGAGTAAGGCAGAATAAGTTTGTCCATGTAATCAATGCCAATTTTGCTTCACCGCAGACACGTGCTTGTTGTCCCTGTGGATGGCTATCAGCTGGACTACTTGGATCAGAACATCTCCATACTATCTTTTACTAAGCTATAAGTAGAGCATCCAGTTATTTATTTTTTGCTACTGCTTTTGGCTCAGCATAAATATTTAACAAAATAATTGCTATACTGATATAAAAAGATTTACCATGTTCCACAGAAAGGCCTTTTTATTCCTGCTTTAAAAATGTTGTCCATTAAATATCTTTAGCTGGCTACATTTAGACATTCTGGAGTTTTTTTGTTGAGCGGCAAAAGTGCTGTTTTTCTGGCCCGCAACTACTATTTACTCTTCTCATTCTGTCTGCGGTGCCTTTTAAAATATAAACTTATAAGGCTCAATTCACAAAGCTAACACACCAGCATAAGTATCCCTAATTTCACAATAGTTGTTTTCATTTCAGTCCAATGTAATTTGAACATTACAGTCACATAGCTGAAAATAGTGCTTTAGGCTTGTCCTAAGGTCCAATTCAAACTTGCCTTTGGGTCCGTCTCAGATTGCTCTATTGGACTCACGTGAACAGCTGCAGGAAGCGATAGACAAAGCAATGACAGCTGAAACAGCCCGCAGCTATTCATTACCATACACATGCAATTGGACATGCTATGATTACCTGTGGATGATTGCCCCTGGATGCAAAGTGATAGCAGTCATTTGAGTTGATGGGAGTTGACTGATAAGATTAGTGTAGAGATGAAGGTGGATAGGCAGTTTTAAAGTAGAAGTTATAGTAAAGAGTTCAAAGGTGGAGGCGAGCTTTAGAGGTATCGAAAGAGGATTCCAGCAAATGGAAGCTGCAGTAGAGAAATCCTAAAACCATGGTTGAGATGGGGTTAGGAGTGATCAAGACATTAAAAGGTGATCGGAGAAGTAACAGCAATTTTGGAAGTATTTTATTCGGGTTTTTGAAGCATAGCAACCTTCATTTTATTCTTAGATTGAAGTCCTTCTTAGCAAGAAGCACTTCTTGTTGGTCTGCACGGTCATATGACAGTGTTGACCAATGAGTGCTTGCCATTTGCAAGCAAAATTTAAAATACAGTGCGCAGGGTGCCACTGCGTTGTACGGAGTACAGGTAGTACACCGGGACAAGTGGAGGGAAAGGAGTGTTTGGCCAAAGGTAAGTACGGCAGGGGAGTGGGGCAGATTTTTTTTCTGCATTTTGAGCATTTGTTTGGTAGAATCTTTCATTTTTGTTCTCCTTTCTCAAGTTTTTTTATTTGCATTGCATTGTAAGAGTTAATCGTTTTATTGTGTTCTGCAGCCTTAATACAACACCCACTCCAGCTTCTGGCATCTTCAGCAATCTTAAATCAACGCCAGCAAGCACACCTTGCACACCTCGACGTTTGAGCTTGGCCGAGTCTTTTACTAACCTGAGAGAATCAACAACCACTATGAGCACATCTCTAGGACTGGTGAGGCTACTCAAAGAGCATGGCATTTCAGCATCTGTGTACAACCCCCAAAGTTGGGACAGGGCTGGAAAGGATCCTTTTATGAACCAATCTCTTCCAAAAATGGCTGTTATACCTTCCACGCCTCCAAACTCGCCTATGCAGACACCAAGCTCTTCTCCTCCTTCCGTAGACTTTAAATGCACTAGCCCACCTTATGATAACTTCCTGGCTTCTAAGCCTGCCAGCTCCATCCTGAAGGAGGTGAGGGAGAAAAAGAACATAAGAAGCAGTGAATGTCAAACTGATGTCTCTGTCTCCAATCTTAATCTGGTGGACAAAGTGAAAAAATTTGGAATTGCCAAAGTCTCAGGACCATCACAAGCATCTGCTGCAGGCGACAGCCACAGGCCTATCATATGTGGCGCAGAGGGACCAGTGCAAGCATATGTTCCTGGTGGCCTTATACCAGAAGGTCTGCCTTTGAATTACCCTCCTGTTGCAAGTGCTATAGGTGGAATTCGTAGGAATCGGAGCTTCCCAACAATGGTAGGATCTAGTATGCAGATGAAAGCACCATCGACACTGGCACCAGGCATCCTAATGGGAGCCAAGTTACCAAAACAGACAAGCTTACGATGAGGAACAGCCAAACATCTTATGACTGGTTTTAAGAGCTGATCATTAGCTGTGCTTCTATTGTGAACCCCTGCATTCAACGGTCATCTTGCGGGGCACGGACTTCCTTTGAATTCCACCTCTCACTTATTTCCTTTTAGCTCGTACTGACAAATCATCATTGTGCCTAGATGAGAAGTGGAACTTTGTATAAATCTGTAGATAAGGAGCATATTGCAATTACATTTTTTTCGCCAAATGAAAGTGGTGACTTACTGATGTTGCTGTAATATTGTAGATAATGGTCATTATAATACTGTACATTAAATTAATGGGGCAGGTGGGGTACTGTATGCACTGACTTGAATAGACTCTTGCAGGATAGAATGCAAAAATAGTTTTAGTATTACATATTAAAGTTTTGGACTGATCAAGGTTTTTATTTAATGTAAAAGGAAATTTAGCCCAAGCAGGTGTGATGTATCCTTGGGTACATTAAGATATTTCCTTTGTTACTGTTCAATGATGCAATAAATTAATACCCTTAATGTAAGGTCTTAAAAATTTAGCATTGCAACTATAGAAGGCTAATTAACAACAAAAGTGATAAAATGTGACCGGAATTTCACAATATCATTTCAGGTCATGTATTTCAATAAAATCTGGTAAAAAGAACTTGGAGTATCTGACATCTAACCAGTTAAGGGAGCCATTTTGTGAACTGATCTGCTTGTCACTCAATTCCTTCCTGAAAATTACCAGTATTTTTTTCAGCCCACAAAATGGCTGCCAGCACTATTGTAGGGTATTGTAAGAATAATGGCGATATACAATATATATGATTGACAGCTGCATTGGCCAATGGTATGGTTACCTGTTGGCATAGTGGATTACTTTGCAATCAGTTCACACAAGTTCTGCACGTTCTGTTCATCATTATTAGCTATTGTCACTGTGCATTAGGATCTATTGTGGATATCCGGAACAAAAAGGGATTAGTAGATCACAAAAGAAGAAAGACAAGACTGTGCTGTCAATAAATTGAAATACTTGAAGAAATGTAATTCTGTAAAGCGAGCTATTGTTGGCTCATGAAGGAACTAGTTTTTTATGTTAAAGAAGGTCAATATATATAGTTAGTGATATTCTAAACCTTTTTTTTTTTTTTTAACCTTTTAGAGCACTAATTGTATTGCTTTTGTTTTTAGGTCACTTGCATTTTAAAGCCTTTTTTATTAAGAGAAAAAAGTCTTACTCCTAGGCCCATATCATTTTGTTTTCTTTTTTTGAAAATGCACATTAGGCCATTCAATAAAGTTATAGTCCACTGTCTCCATTTGCTGCTTCATTCATTTATTTTTTGTGGTATAATTTACGTTACTTTGTTTTAGAATGCACCAAAAATATTTTTCAAAGCGTTTTTCACATGTCCATGGTCTTTAACTTGAGGATGATCAGCACGGAGTATGTCAGCAAAAAATTTCCTGAAAGATTGTACTAAGCTGAATGAGTTGCACTGCATACACATTTAGTATGCAGCCCAAGTAGCACAGGCAATAATGGATGAAACATTTAGCCCTCGTTCACACCTGAGCCACATAGGATAATGCGCATTTTGAACACGTTTTGTGTACCACACTTTTGAATTTTTTCGGCACACTTTTACACGCGTAAAACATGCATACATACAGCACGTTTTTGCGAGCAGATCAGAACATATTGATGTGAGTAGACAAATGCAGCAAACGCGAGTTTTTGAACAATTGAAGTACATGGGGCCAAGAGGCTCAGAATCTGCCAAAAAGCTTGTGTACTTTCTTCAGGCGATGGGCGTTTTGTTACAAGTGACAAAACTCTCCACTGTGAACATGGCCATAGAAATGAATGGCGGTTTTCTTTGCGCATTTTTCTTTTTTTAGTGGTTTTTTTTTTCCCGGCAGAAAAGGCGCTACAAAATGCTTAGTGTGAATGAGGGCTAAGGTCTGTTTTGAATTATGGGACGAAAGGTAGATTTTGGTCAGAAATGTGTGTGCTAAACATTCAGCCAAGCATTTTCAGGGGAACTCTGATCACCTTCCAGATACAAGGAATTAAGCATTTGAAAGCATTCCCAATCATTGGCATCATACATGTCGGATCTGTTTATGATCTCATTAGTGCTGTTGGTATTAATATTATAATGTCTCTTTAGGGTTTAGCTGGCCGAACATGGCTCTGAATCAGCTCAGATTCAAGGTGTGGGTGGCCTTGAAGGCACTCAACAAAAGTTGATTTACAAATTGATATTATTATGGTGATTCTGCGCTGGATCCGTGAAGTGCAAAAATGTAAGTATAAGTGCTAAAATAAATAATTTGGGGGCTGCAGCAAAACTGACCTTCAAGTCAAATGCTATGAAATTTGGGAATAGGCCTCGCCGACAATAATCAATGTGTAGGTGTTAAAATGAACTGTGATTAAATCGTGAATTATACAATGAACAAGTGTGAATAATGTATCAACCATACATATAAAATCCCATCATGACAAAACATATAAATCGTAAATGAATATTAAAATATATATGTGTTATAAAACATTCCACAATCCATAAAGTTTTTTGTTGTGATTTAAAGTTCGTATTTAAAAAGCGGTGATGCCCTGGATCATTAATCCCACAGGGTCTGTGGAAACGAATCAGTATTAGTGACGAGCTACCATGACAAAAATGTTGCAAGTCAGTGAAATGTGTTCGTAAAAAATATATAATAAAAAAGAAGTAAGTTCCGTAGACTTATGTTGGGGATACGGGTCGGTGCCACAGATATCCCCTCAAAGAGTGCACTCACCGTTAGGTAGTGGCTGTGGTAAGCAGCCGGAAGCGCTTAGATACAGGTTTCTGCAGCCACAGCATCCATCCACTATCTCGCTCCGGTCTGTGGTTGGTGGGTGATGTATCTCCATATTGCCTATTTACACGCTATACCGAATACAAGACTCGGATACAAATACAATACAAGACTCCGCTTGCTGTTTTTTCCTCTGCCGAATGTTCGCTGTTTTTTGGCTTTTACAATTTTAAATAAAGCCCCCTTGTTGAAAAAAACTATGAAATGAAAGGCTTTTTTCTTCTATGAACGTGGAGATACATCACCCACCAACCACAGACCGGAGCGAGATAGTGGATGGATGCTGCGGCTGCAGAAACCTGTATCTAAGCGCTTCCGGCTGCTTACCACAGCCACTACCTAACGGTGAGTGCACTCTTTGAGGGGATATCTGTGGCACCGACCCGTATCCCCAACATAAGTCTACGGAACTTACTTCTTTTTTATTATAGATTTTTTTTTATTATATATTTTTTACGAACACAGTTCACTGACTATCAACATTTTTTTCACGGTAGCTCGTCACTAATACTGATTCGTTTCCACAGACCCTGTGGGATTAATGATCCAGGGCATCACGGCTTTTTAAATACGAACTTTAAATCACAACAAAAAACTTTATGGATTGTGGAATGTTTTATAACACATATATATTTTAATATTCATTTACGATTTATATGTTTTGTCATGATGGGATTTTATATGTGTGGTTGATACATTATTCACACTTGTTCATTGATTTACAAATTGAACTGGATGAAAAATTATCAACCGAATAGTGGCCATTTTTCTTTTTTTTTAGTGGGTTTCGTTTTTCCGGCAGAAAAAGCGCTACTTTAAACATTCATAAAACGGTTTGTATTCTTACTAGACATGTGCAATTCGTTTCGTTCCGAATCGAAATTCGGACGAATTTTCGGACATTCGGATGTATCCGAATTCCGAATTACAGACATAACGAATGCAAACGAATCCGAATTTCCATTTCCGAAATTCGGTAGCGTTCGTACGAACGTTCGTTTCGTTTTCTGTTCTTATTCGTTTCGTTCGTTGGAGCAAAGTGACATTAGAGAAGAAGAAAAATATTTTTTCCCCCTCAAATGTCACTTTTGCTGCGAACGAAACGAATAAGAACAGAAAACGAACCGAACGTTCGTACTAACGCTACCGAATTTCGTCCGAAACCGAATTCCGAATCCGAATTGACTTTCACACCCGAATCCTGAAAAACGAAATAACACAAATCCGAATTTAAAACGAAACGAATTTTTTGGCAGTGCACATGTCTAATTCTTACCCATAGCTGAAAAGAGAAGGTGATCTTTGACATCAATATAACTTTGCTATAAGGGCTAAAATTTTGTGTGTGCTGCAATGTTAGACCAGAAATGATGGCTGCTTTCTTCTATTGGTTCCCAAGACAGAGGAACACTTTGGTTTAGAAAATATTATAATGTGCAACTTTAGGGCTAGTTCACACCAGTCCCAGTGCGTTCCGGCACGATTCGGTGCTGGAACGCGCTGGATCGCATCATTGCCGGCTCACTGCGTTCTGGGGGGGGGGAGGGGGCGTGGTAGTGCATCAAAATCAATGGCACCGCAGCCACTCTCCCCGGCCTCAGGGCGATCGCTCGCACCAGAACGCGTGGCACATCAATGCCTGCGTTCTGGTCCGATCAGAAAAAATGTTGCATGCACTATTTTTTTCCCCCAATCGGATCGGAATGCAGGCATTGACGTCAGATCCAGTCCACCTGTCAGGTTTTTCAGGCGGATCGCATTGGAAGCCCGATGTTACCCTATGGGCAGCTGGATCTAAACAGACGTGCTTCTTTATACATCAGATTACCCCTGAGTCCATCTAGGTCCTGACCTGTTCGTGACATATCAGAGGTAATCTGATATCAACAGACGCATCTCCGCTTACATCCAACTCCCCATGAATTTAACATGGATCCGTTTAGCTCAGTCTTTTTTGTTTTTTTTAAAACTCCATCACACGATGGAGGAAAAAACTGAATGGACAAGGATGTCACAAGAGTGACATTTGCTCCGTGCTGATCAGAACGAACACGTTCGCGTAAAGGAGGCCTAAAGCTGGATTCACGCTACTGCATACAGTAACACACATGATGTGTATTGGTGCATTGCAATGTCATTCATTCTGAAAGGCACCACAAGTACACTGTAACACACTACCGTGAGTTGTCGTTACAAGAAAAATACTACATGTACTTTTTTTTTGTCTGCTTTGGTGTTTTGGCAACCTCAAAATAAATGTGTCTTAACACAACACACATTAACGCACAACATAAAGTAAATGCAGCAACACAGAGCGGACAGGTGTTAATGGGCCCTAAATCATTTAAAATATTTATAGTTCTAACTTCCCAAATCTTCTGCATATTTATCCATGCATGTTGAAAATCATGCATCAAAATGCAAATAAAGCTTTTGCATAAACCAACCAAAAGTTTTATTAGCACATGGTGAATATTTTCCTATTTTATGTTCTGGTGTAGTTGGCATGGATGCATGGCATTCATTGTGATCTCTTCATTCTTTAATATTGTACAGTCAAAGGCAGCGCAAAGGACAACTTGATGTAACTTGCTTGTTGTGTGCTTTTCTTGCTTTGGATTATCAGCAATGTGCAGCAAATATATTCCTGTTATGTACAATATATACAAAACATATTTTCATGAACATTGAAAAGTGAAAGTAATGTTGTCTTTAAGTCAACCCAGACCTCAGAGCTCTGTGTAATTTTGTAAGTACAACCCTTTGATATCCATTTTCTGCTCATTGTTTCTGGTTTATATTTGATACATTCTGGGTTGATTTCTGAATCCACCAACAGAGTTCCTAAGTGAAATTCAGCTTCTGTGCCATGTTTGTCACAAGGATTCCAGTACACTGGTATGTCAGCTGGAGTCCCCATCTTGTAATTTCCCTTTAATTTACAATGATCAATGTAAATGTATCATAAAAAGAAAATAGTGCTAACCAACTAAAACGGCAAATACCAGCATGCAGCTTTTGGAGCCTGGAAGTCTAACATGTACTATTATGGATTCCGCAATGTATGCATAGTAAAGCTAGACATACACTGTAAGCACAGCTGAACAAGAGAAAGTTTTATAATACTCCATCCATTCTAAACCACATGGATAAAGGAACCTCCGCTGCCGGCTATTGTGTTCAGCAACCACTTTATCAGCAGCTGCTGAATAGCCAAACTTGTGCCTGTGCATGATTGGATTCAGGTATTTGGCTGATAATTTTACACCTGCC